GCAGTTTCTAAAATGCATTACAAATTTATGATTAAGAAAACCAATTTTACAGAAACAAATTTTTGGTATAAGAGCCATCAAATAAGAGAAAGCATAAAGAAGTGAGTTGTACATTCTTATCCCTAGTAACATGGTGTCTGTTACAGAGTAAGTGCTTAATAAATACTTTTTGAGCTTAGCTCCTAAATGACTGAAAGACACAAGAGAAAATCAGATTCTCTCTCTTCAAGTGAGTGGGAAGACATGTTACATCCAACTTCTTGTAACCTATTCCAGACACCAAACAGTTGTCAATAAATATTACTTATAATCTAAAATGCTGATTAAATTGGGTCTTCTTTGTCAATTTGATTGATTGAGATGCATATGTACGTATGTGTTGCAGAGATGCATGTACATGACTGTGTGTATGTGTCTAAAAGAATATACTTGGGAGTTATGGTGAACTGTCCTCATATTTGTTTGGTTCTGTTAAGTATCTAATTCCTTTCTATTGGTGAGGGTTGGAAGCATGTAGCACAAATTGGGGTCTAGAGTAGTACCATATATTTTCCATGGATACTTATATTCAGCAGATATTATAGACATTCACTAAAGGGATAAAGCTTAAGCCTGGTAATGCTATACACTAGCCAGAGAGAGAATTTATTTGAGGAAGGCTGGTTTACTTAGCACCATCAAACCACCTATTCATAGTTATCAATCTGCCTACCAAAAATACCTTTAAATTAGATAGGTGACTATACATACACATGCCTTTGCTAAGAATGTGGCCAATACTCACCTACAAATCTTAATATTGTAAGGAATAACAATAAGATTACTAAACATACGAAATCTTTACTCTACTTTAACATTTTATTCAATGTCATTTAAATGTGTTTTTATAAGATGTTATTAAGAATAAATGTTTAGAACCTCTGCCTCCTTGAAGATAGAGTAGATTATTTGCCCCTCTTCCTTCCACTAAGGACAACAAATAACCCTGAATATTATATACAAAACAAAAATCTAAAAGTCCAAAAGGTAAAGAAAAGAAGGATAACCATCTAGGCATCTTGGAACCCAAGGGACAGTAAGGCCCTTTGATTTCCTTTTTGCCTTGTATATCCCAGAATTGGAGGTGGAGAATCTAGAACTCTGTAAATGCTAACATGTTCAAACAAACAAACAAACAAACAAAGCCCAAACAAAAGTCTGCTCTATGTAAAAAAAAAAAAAAAAAAAAAAAAAAAAAAAAAAAGGTGAAGGGGCAGTCTAGCAGCACAGAAACTTTAGACGATAACCATCCTATTCCGGCCAAATAACGACAGAAAAAAAAAAAAATGTGACCCGGCTATCAGCTATGCCAGTAAAGACCAAGTGGGTAGCCTAGAGCTCCACTCTTGCTAGGCTGTAACAAAGTGTTTCCCCCAACACCCTAAACATACCTGGATGTGTTAGATGGTGCTGGATGGTGTTAGAGGAGGCCAAATAGAAAGCTAGTACTTTCATTCTTGCTGAGAAGTAATGAAGACCCCCCACTCACAATGTCAGTGGAGACCACATGTGAACCTGGACTTCCACCTGCACCCTGCAGTAATTAGGTTCTACTCCCTCCCGCTACTGAGTCGACATCAGAAGATACCTAATGGAGAGTCTGGATTTTTGCTAGTGTTCAGTGGTAATGAGGCCATACAATCCCTGTGGTGGACATGTGGGGAGCAGTAATGAGTCATTTGCACTTTTATCCAGGGTGGTATCAGGTGAGGGGTAGTGGGGAACTGAGACCCCCACTTCCTCTCAGTAGTAACATAGAGCCCCCTGTTCTCAGGTATCAACAGGGGCCAAGTGAGGAACCTGGACTTCTATCTCTACCTGGAAGTAATGAGTCAATATCCCTGTCTGCTGTTGTCAGAGTGATATCATTGATAGCTAACAAAAGTATAAGGTTAAAATGAAATCTGGAGTTTCTTAACAAAATACCCAAAATGTCCAGGTTCCAGTAAAAATGATTCATCAAACCAAGAACCAGGACAATCTCTCTTGAATGAACAGAAGTAGAAGCTGTAAAGTCAGATTTTAGAGCAGAAAATGCAATAACAAAAAAATTCAGTAGATGGATTCAACAGCTGAATGGAGGGAACAGAGAAAAGAATCAGTAAACTGAAAGAAAGAATAATAGAAATTATCCAATCTGAACAATAGAAAATAAACTTGGAAATTGAACAGATACTCAGGACTTATGTGACTATGTCAAAAGATCTAATATTCATGTCACAAGACTACTGGAACCAACAGGATGTAATCAATATTTACAGAACACTCAATCAACAGCAGAATACACATTTTTTTAAGCACCTATGGAACATATACCAAGTTAAATCATATTCTGAGTCATAAAAAGAACAACAACAAACTTATAACAATTAAAATCATCCAGAGCATGTTGTCTGACTACAGTGAAATCGAACTAGAAATTATTTTTAAAAATAACAGTAAAACCTCCAATCACTTAAAAACTAGACAACTTACTTCTAAATAACCTTTGAGTCAAAGAAGAACTCTCAAGGGAAATAAAAAAATACATTGAACTGAATGAAAATGAAAATAATACATGTCAGAATTTGTGGAATGCAGCTAAAGCAGTACTGAGAGAAAAATTTATAGCACTAAATGCTTACATTGGAACACAGGACACATTTCAAATTAATAGTCTTAGCTTCCACCTCAAGAAACTGAAAGAAGAATAAATAAAGCAGGCAGAAGAAAGGAAATGATAAAGATAAGAGTAGAAATTAACAAAATTAGAAATAGAGAAAAACAGCTGGTTCTTGCAAATTTCTAGTAAGAGTGACAAAGAGAAAAAAAGAGAAAAGGCAATTTACCAATATAAAAAAATGAAACAACTGATATAACCACAAACCCTGAAGACATTAGATAATAGGTGAATATACGAACAACTCCACATACAAACATTTGATAACACATAAAATGGATCAATTCTTCAGAAAGCAAACTCTGAACACACTCAATAAGAAATAGATAATTTTTATAGCCCAGCAACTCATAAAAATTGAATTTGTAACTTTAAAACTCTTTGATCCCCACCCAAATCTCATTGAATTGTAATCCCTAATGTTGGGGGAGGAACCGGGTAGGAGTTAATTAGATCATGGGGAAGGAAGGATTTCCTTGCTGTTGTCATGATAGTGAGTTCTCATGAGATCTGGTTGTTTGAAAATGTGTAGCACTTCCCCCTTCTCTCGCTCTCTGTTCCTCCTGCTCCTACATGTGAAGGTGTGTTTGCTTCCCCTTGCCTTCCACCATAATTATAAGTTTCCTTAAGTCTTCAAGCCATGCATCCTGTACAGCCTATGGAATTGTGAGTCAAACCTCTTTTCTTCATAAATTACCAGTCTCAGGAAGTTCTTTATAGCAGTGTGAGAATAGACTAATACATCCAGTCCCAGATGATTTTACGGAAGAATTCTACCAAATATTTGAAGAACAACTAATACCAATTCAGCACAGTCTAGTCTCTCTAGAAAACAAACTAGAACTACTTCCTAATTAAATGTATGAAGCTAATGGTATTCTGAAATGAAAACTCAAAAGAAGTACAGAATAAAGAAAACTATAGGTAAATATCCCTCACGAATATAAACAGAAAAAATATTTTATAAAACATTAACAAATATATTTCAATAATATATAAACATAATTATACTTCATGACCAAAATAGATTTATTCCAAGGATGCAAGTCTGGTTCAATATAGAAAAACTAGCCAGTGTAACCCACCATATTACCAGAGGAAAGAAAGGAAAAAAACCACACAATCATGTTAGTTGATGCAAAGAAAACAGAATAAAACAAAACATTTGACAGAATTCAGTGTGTGTTTATTATAAAATCTATCATAAAAAATAGAAATACAGGATAACTTTCTCAGCTTGAGTAAAAAATTATAAAATATCTACAGCTTAGCATTATGCTTAGTGATGAATTACTGAATGCTTTCCCCTTAAATTGAGAAAAATACATGATGTCAGCTTTCATCATTCTTATTTTACATAATGCTGAAGTTCTTTCTAGTTGTTGCAATTAAGGCAAGCAAAGAAAAAGACATACACATCAAAAAGGAAGAAATACTACTTTCACTATTTGTAGAAGACATGGTTGTCTACATAGAAAATCTGAAAGAATGTGTTATAAAAACTCTCCCAGAACTCATAAGTAAGTTCAGAAAGATCACCGGATACCAGATAAACATGCAAAAACTAATTGCATTTCTATATGCTAGCAGTGAAAACATGGACATCAAAATTAAAAGTATGATACCATTTACAATTGCTCCAAAAATTAAATACTGAGGTGTAAATATAAAAAATATGTACAGGAATTACAAGCTGAAAACTACAAACTACTGATGGAAGAAATCAAAGAATTTCTAAATAAATGAAGAGGTGTACTATGTTTATGGATTGGAAGACTCAACATAATAAAAATGTCAATTCTCCCCAGACTGATAAACAGATTTAATAAGATTCTCATCAAAATTCCAGCTATATTTTTTGTACATGTAGACGAGATTATTCTAACAGTAGTATGGAAAGGCAAGGGAACTAGAATAGCTAAAACAATTGTGAAAAAGAATGTAGTGTGAGGAGTCACTCTGCCCAAGTTCAAGACTTATTTAGCTATAGTAACCAAGACCGCATGTTATTGGCGGAAGGATAGACATATAGATGAAAAGGACATAAAGAGAATGAATACAAAGGGACTACATAAATATGCCCAACTGATTTTTATTATTTTTAAATTTTTAATTAAATTTTTTTTGTAGTTGAGATGTTTGAGTTCCTTGTATATTCTGAATATTAATCCCTTGTAGGATAAATAGTGTGCAAATATTTTCTCTCATTAGACTGTAGCTTGTCTTTTCACTCTGCTCATTATTTCCTTTGCTGGGCAGAAGGTTTTTAGTTTGATTTCATCCCATCTGTCTATTTTTGTTTTTGTTGCCTGTGCTTTTCAGGTTTTATTCATAAAATATTTTCTCAAACCAATTTTCTGAAGCATTTCTCTGTTCTACTTAATAGTTTTATTATATTGGGTCTTACATTTAGTTCAAAGTGGGGGTCTAGTTTCATTCTTCTGCATATGGATATCCAATTTCCCTAGCACCATTTATTGAAGATATTGGCCTTTCCCCAGTGTATGGTCTTGGCAATTTTTGACAAAGATGGAAAAGCAATTCATAGGAGGAATTACAACTTTTTCAACAAATGGTGCTAGAGTAATTGTAATTTATAGGCAATAAAAATGAACATAAACCTAAACTTCACATGTTATACAAAAATGTAAAATGCATTATGTATTTAAACATAAAACATAGAACTGTTAATCTTTTAGAAGAGAACATAGGAGAGAAGCTCTGTGACCTAGTCTTGCATGAAGGGTTCTTAAATATAACATTATTAGTAAGATTCATAAAAGATGAAAATGAATAAATTGGACTTCACTGAAATTAAAAACTTTTGCCTTCAGAATAACACTGCTAAGGGAATGAACAGACAAGATAGAAGCTGGAGACACAATATTTGGAAACCACTTCCCTGACAAAGGGGTAGCATATAAAATACATAAAGAACTCTCAAAACAAACAGCCTGATTAGCAAATGGCAAAAAAATTAAAGCCATGATGAGTTATCACTACATACCTATCAGAATGGCACAAATAAAAATTACGACAATACCAAATACTGTTAAGAATGTGAAGAGAGTGGATCTCATTTTGTTGCTGGTGGTATGTAAAGGGGCACAGTCACTCTTGAAAACAGGTTGGCAATTTCTTTATAAACTAAATATGCAGCTATCATATCATTCAGCAATTCCACTTTGAGGGATTTATTCAGGGAAATGAAAACTTATTTTTATAGAACTTGTACATAAATATTCAAAGAAGTTTTATTTATAATAGGCAGAACTGGAAGCAATCCAGATGTCTTTTAATAGATGAATGGTTAAACAAACTGTGATATGTCAATGTTTATTCATGATCTATTTGGTGTCACAAGACTCAACCAGGTGCTTAAATACATTTGTGACTTAAATTTCATAATGTAAATATTATTATCCTAATTTTGTAGATTAGAAATTTGAGTTTAAGGGAGTTTAATAGCTTAGCCAATGTCATTCAGGGCAAAGGCTAGAATTTTCAACCTGAGTTCATGGTATTCCAAAACCCATTTATATCCCACCACAGGAAGCTGCCACGAAAATTAGGTGAGGGACTATGTGTGCTTGTTATTCTTTGTAATCGAGAAGGATATAACTAATCATGTTATACCCTGTCTAAGGACTACTTCTGTCATTACATTTTCAGCCCAAAGTGATTGCCTAAGAACAGACTTTCTTATTCAGTAGTTTCCATTCAATGCATTTACCTAGGTAGGTATCTGCAAAGTCATGGCATTTGATGAGACTTCACCAAGAAAGAGAATAGGCTTAAACTCTCTTCTGTTGACTCATTTAACTAAGTAACAGAACTAATGCTTATTCTTTTTCATAATTAGGTTTGCAACCTCATTTTTGGAGCCTAAAACACTCATTTGATCACATGGATGCCTGGAATGACTTTGTTTTACAATGCATTTCCTTGTCTTCAGAGTCAACTAAAGCACAACCATTGAGGTCCATCCCCAGTTATGGAACAGGTATGGTTGAAAAAGAAGACATATCATCACATTTTGTAGCCAGAAGAAATTATTCAATTGAATCAATCACCTCATTTTGTAGAGGCAGAGTAACTTGTCCAGGTCACACATATGTGTTTAAAATTAAAACATGAGTCTTAGATTTCTCCTGAGGCTCAAATCTGGGTGTTACCAAAACTTCTTTCTATGCTCCATACGTTGAATTCCAGTTGCTATTCCAAGTTTTACAAGAGCAATTCTTGTTTTGTGAATAGACCATGAACAAAATACTTAATTATTTATTTTAAAAGCCAAATTTCAAGGTCCTTAAACCTAGAAGGAATGGCAGCTGCAAAGATATAACTTGCTATGTTACCTAAGCACCTCTGTGTTTTAGCCATGCCTCTTAATTTTGATACCTTAACAAATTCTTATTTGGTGCTTACCTTGCATTTTGCTTGGCTCTGGAGAGGAGATTCAATGATAAAGTAATAAAAATACTGCCTTTATCTAATTTGGAGTGTTGATGAATTAGAGAAATGAGATAGTAGATGTGAAAACTTTTTGTAAAGTGTACAATTCTGTAAAAATTAGACATGACACCATTTGCAATTGCTAGTGTATATGATATCATAGATGAAGATTTGAAATATTGAAAACTCATCATAAACAAAAGATATATTTATATTGTAAGTTTATGACATCTAGACATTGAAATTGGACAGAATGCTTAATAACAAACATTTGTTATGTGCCGATCACTTATTTATAATTTCTGTTCTCCACTCAAATGTAAATACAGAAAAGTTTTATCTTTTTTATTACTATTATTCCAGCTCTTAGAATAGTAAGCACACACCATGCACTAAATATTTGATGAACAAGTTAATAAATTAATACTTTTTGTGTATATATGTTCATTTTATGATACATGACCAAAAGTGGAATTAGTGGACATAAGATTATATAAAGTCTTCATAGATATTGCTAAATTCCTCTTCTAATTAATTGATTATACCAATTTATCTTTTAATTGTCTAATTTATTAAAAAGGACACTGAGTGCCTGTATATTTTAAGCTCTTTTGCATCTGGCTAGCATGTTTTTCTTCTGGGAATAACAGTCCCTTCCTCTGGGAATTATGACTTCCCTCATCCTTCTGTTGAGAGCAGCCAAGTTAATGTGAATTCATCTTCTGGTGCAATGGATTGGGTCAGGAGTGGCTCCAGACTCAAGCTGGGCTAGTCATAGAACCTCATCTCTAAAGTTATCAATTATTGGTCCAGGAATGTTCATTGGATCTAGTCAGGGCCAGAGACTGACTTTCTTGGAATTTTTGGGCATGGGAAACTTGTGACTTGAATCAATAATTTTCTGATGGTTGAAGCTATTAAGGACTTAAAACTCAAAATTTGTTGGTTGCTGTTTTGCACCAAAGGGACAAAGTTACTTGGCACTGAGAGAGAAAAGGATGAAGCCCATACCCAGAGAAGATCCCCCAAGATAAGTCTAAATGCAATTTGAGTGCCTGGTTCTCAGTGTTCCTGCAGTCAAACTACATGAGCAATGTTAAGATTGAGGAAATATCTCAATCTCTTTATGATGATAGTAGTAAACAGTAATAATGTTTTTATTTTTAACTTAAATTGATTCAAATTATCTTTCCCCCATTTTTTGTAACCAAGCATCATAATAGTGAAGCTTACTACACCAGCAGGCACCTTGACTCAATGTTCTCTTAAGCAGTATATGAAAGTATCCATTTGCCCATATATTTACCTATAAGGCATGTTATGAATATTTACATTGTTGTGTTCATATGGTGAGTAAAAACAATGGAATCACTTACTTGTTTTAATTTGTGTTACTTAAGCAGCAGCTAAGCTGAGAATGTTTTCAGGTCTTTATTGGCTATAATTCTTCTGTGAATTGCTGATATATAATATTTGGTCATTTTTCTCTGGGGTTGTATTTTTCTTATTAATTTGCAGAAACTTTAAAAAATGGCTATTAATCTTCATTGTATTCATTGAAACTGTATTTTCCTGGCCTATTACATGCTCAGTTGCATTTGTTTATGCTATATTTTATCACATAGAGGTTAAGTATTTTATATATTCAAATCTATTATGCTTTTTCTTTAGGATTCCTGATTTTTTTCTTGTTTAGGAGCATTTGTCCCACTTCTAAATTATTTTCAAAAATCTAAATTTCCTTTTTACACATCTTAGTTTATTTTCTACCTTTCATTTTATGTTATTCCAGTCACTGTACTTTGCTCTTTTCGTATGAAATTTAATGCATACTTTGCAAGATAAATATTGTTATCTCCATTTTCCAGATTATGGGAAGGAAAATGAGTTTCAGAAAGTTGTTCAGGTCACACATGGTAAGTGCTGATATTCTGGCAGCAAATCTCATAATCGTTGATACGGTTTGGCTCTGTATCCCCACCCAAATCTCATCTAGTAGCTTCCATAATTCCTGCATGTTGTGGGAGGGACCCAGTGGGAGATAGTTGAATCACTGGGCCGGATCTTTCCCTTGCTGTTCTTGTTACAGTGAATGGATCTCATGAGATCTGATGGTTTTAAAAACAGGAGTCTCCCTGCACAAGCTCCCTCTTTGCTTGCCGCCATCCATGTAAGATGTGACTTGGTCCTCCTCAACTTCTGCCATGATTGTGAGGCCTCCCAAACCACATGGAACTGTGAGTCCAATAAACTGCTTTCTTCTGTAAATTGCCCGGTCTTGGATATGTATTTATCAGCAGTGTGAAAATGAACTAATACAATCCTTCAACCTTTCATGCCATCTTTGCAAAATATAGATGAGAAACTGGCTAATTTATAGCTGCTGGGATTTTATTTATTCCCTAAGTGATTTGAGTTGATTAATACTGCAAATTAATGTAACAATATAGATATATATTATGTACGGGACCTTGGATCAGTACAAACTGTAGTCTAATGCACTTTGTATTCAATATATCCTTGATTAAGAAATTGGTGAATAAATAATTGACTGGGGTGGCAAGGGTCACACTAAGCTCATCTGCACTTGGAGAGTCAAGGTTAAACTAGAAGCAAAGATGTGGTGTAGGATGAGGAAAAAGCTGGATGTCAGGTGTGTGCAGCAGCACCATTAAGGCACATCTTGCTACCTGGAGTTCCCAGCTATTCACTATTCTTCCCATAGTGATGAGTTGAGGCTCACTCCTCTGAATTTGCATGATGTCTTCACACACCTCTAGAGCACTTTTGTCCTTGTTAGCTTAGTGTACTAGGCAGTGTCCTCCGAAGCCGTGGCACTTAGTCTTTTTGTTCTGTGCCCCTGGTCCTCTCCTAGCACCTGGTATACTATGGAGATGTGGTCAACACACAAGCCAGAGAGCCAGCTGGGGCTGTTGAACTTGGAAATGTGGTCTGTGATCTAATTTCAAGATGAGAAACTTAGAAAGTTGCCTTATTCTTGATGTTTTTCAAATAATTCTGGATATAATCATTTTGGTGGCTAAAAAGCAGTGCCAACTTTCTTAATGGCATTCTTCTATTCAATAAAGCAGGCAATTTAAGTTCCAAGGATATATATTTTTTCTGTGAAACCCAATAAGTCTATTTTCTTTTTGAATGAAAGAAATATAGCCTCTAAGTAATACACACACACATACACTCCTATGTGTACATATAATATGTACCCATACATATTATTCCTGTATTGGCCTTCATGTAAAAGAAGGCTGCTCAGTACTGAACTCCATGATCAGCAAATGCCAAACTTAGGAAAGGATCAATTCATCAGTCCACAGATACATTTAACCAGCAATGCATCAATCTTCCCCATAGATAGATCCCATCAGAGAGCCATCAGTAGCCTCAGTTGCTTCCTCCTGGCTGGTCCCCGCAAAACATTAGAGTGTTCAGTGATACCTGCCAGGTGTCCACCTGCCAGCAATGGTCTATAAATCATGACCTAATAAAAAAGGTCAGTGGACATCATGTTATGTGTGCGTTTCACCTGCATAAATGCAACCACAGGGGCTCTAGCAACCATAGAAGTGTGCCATTCAGATCCACTTTTAAGAGGACCTTTTGTGGGAAGCACAGCTGATGGCAGCTGTTGGACTTTCACATTCAAAACTGCCAATGCTGTGCTTCATCTGGACTCTTCTAGCCAACATCTGGATATGACGGGGGGACTGGGTCCCTTCTCTACCCAATGTGGGATTCCACTAACAGGCAATGTTGTGTTTGCTTGTTGACTCCTTATTGGTTTGGCTGAGATTTTCTTAGAACCTCACTATAGTCTGAGCTTTTCCTGGCCAGTCCTTCTTTCTTTCTCTCCTTGCATAACTATCCAATCTGTGTTATGATCTGAAAGCTCTTCCTTACCACTCCTGCTCCCTTTATCTTTATCTTTCATATGTGTTTTCCCCATCAAATCTCTTGTTCATCTAATCCCTTTTTGGTGCCTACCTCTCAGAAAATCTGAATTGATACAGCAGCCCATCAGAAAAAAAAAGATGGGGTGGTGGTGTTGGAGAAAAACAGCAACTTAAATAGTACCATCTATGAATTAGGAGTATTCACTGAATGAGCATGAGATGTAGGTATCTTGTCCCCTCAGCCAGGTCCTATTTGTTCCTTAAAGTCCTAATTTTAGTCAATAAATCTTTATGGCATTTACTCTATGCCAGACATTGTTCTAAATATTTTACTTATACTGAATTATTTGGTGTTTACATCAGCCCTATGATTAACTACTGTTTCCATTCTGCAGATGAGAACAATGAAGCACAGAGAGATTATGTTAACTTGTCCAGTGCCAAAGAGCTATTAAGTGGCAGAGCTGGGATTTATTGCCACTGCACTGTTGCCTCTTCTGTTAGGAGCTCTTTGCTGTGCTGAGATTGCAGTATTTAAAGATAGGTATTTTTAATAAAATATGTTCATTAAACTTTATTCAATTTCTTTGCATGATACTTAGCTAAATAAATAAGAATTTCTTTGCATCAGTGAAAGGAAAGCTGACTGCACTGAATTTGTTAGTCTTCAGTATGGCAACTTCATAGAAATTGAGGTTCAGAAAGTTGTTCAGGTAATTTGCAAGAAGAACATTGATTTTATATATATGAAATTATATATTATATAATTAATATCTATAATTACATATTTATAACATATATAATTAATATCTATAATATATAATGTGTAATATATAATTATAGATATAATAGGTAATATATAATATATTATAATATAATATGTAATATAGATATTATATATGTTATAAATATATAATTATTTTTTATATATACACATATCAGCTATTTCAAATGACAATTCCCAGATTTGCTTCATCAAGGCAAGGTCTTTCAGTGGATTTTTGTGGGGTAAGAGTGAAGAGGGTTGGTGGTATGTTCTAATGTTGGAAAATTAATCAGAAATATATATTCCTCTTCTATTACCAACTGGAAAACTCTATTTTCAGAGGACTCATGTGACTCAACAGGACCCACTTGGATAATTTCCGTATTTTAAGGTCAACTGTACCATATAAAAAAATCTAATCACAAGAGCAGAATCCACGATATTCATGGTCAGTAAAGCAGGCAGTTCAAATTCTAAGAATATATGCATTTTCTGTGAAACCCAATAAGGCTATTTTCTTTTAGAATAAAAGAAATATAGCTCTTAAGCAATACACCAATAATTGTTTAATTTAATAAGTTTCAATTCAGAAATATATATTTCTGACTAATTTTCTAACATTAGAACATACCACCAACCCTCTTCACTCTTACCCTGCAAAAATCCACTGAAAGACTGCCTGGGTGAAGCAAATCTGAATTGGCATTCAAAATAACTGATTTTTGCAGAGTGATGGATGACAATTTTCAAGTAGTTACTATGCTCTGGATAATGTTCTAGATAATGAACATGCATCCAATAATTTAAATCACACAACCACCTGTGGAGTGGTTGCCCATTTGAGAAGGAAGAAACCTGAACTAGATATATTAAATAAATTGCTCAACATCAGAGCTCGTAAGTAGCTGAGTCAAATGAAAACCAAGTCTTACCAATTAGTCTGTGTTGTTGTTATTTTAAACTGCCTGCATCAGCTAACTAGGGTTTATATTTCTGAGCTACCCCCTCGCCCCCAATTATTCTTGCTTCTGTGAACTTTCTTCTTAACCATGGCAAATTATACCCACTTTAAGCTTTTCATGATGTCACAGGGACTTCTTTATGAATTAAATTACTTTAATGCCAATATTGGTGAGATTATGTGTGATATTAGATAACTACTTTTATTACTCATTCTTTTTTTCTTTCACCAATGTTTGTAAAATACCCTCTTTTTTTTTTTTTTTTTTTTTGACAGTCTCTCTGTCACCCAGGCTGGAGTGCAATGGCGTGATCTCGGCTCATTGCAACCTCCGCCTCCCGGGTTCAAGTGATTCTCCTGCCTCAGCCTCCCAAGTAGCTGGGATTACAGGTGAGTGCCACCACGCCCGGCTAATTTTTGTATTTTGTTTTTAGTAGAGACGGGGTTTCACCATGTTGGCCAGGCTGATCACGAACTCCTGGCCTCAGGTGATCCACCCACCTCGACCTGCCAAAGTGCTAGGATTACAGGCGTGAGCCACCACGCCTGGCCTAAAATACCCTCTCTTTTAGGCAGATAGATAAAGGCCATTCTAAAACAAGCCCTAAGATTTCCTGCTTACTGTTGTACATATTTTTCATAATCCCCAGGACAATGAATATAGTGGATTGTAATAGATAATACTGAGTGTCTACTTGATTGGATTGAAGGATGCAAAGTATTGATCCAGGGTGTGTTCATGAGGGTGTTGCCCAAGTAGATTAACATTTGCATTAGTGGACTGGGAAAGGCAGACCCACCCTCAATCTGTGTGGGCACCATCTAGTCAGCTACCAGTATGACCAGAATAAAAGCAAGTAGAAGAACATGAGAGATCAGACTGGCTTAGCTTCCCAGCCTACATCTTTCTCCTGTGCTGGATGTTTGCTGCCCTTGAACATTGGACTCCCAGGTTCTTCAGCTTTGGGACTCAGACTGACTTTTTTGCTCCTCAGCTTGAAGACGGTTTATTGTGGGACCTTGTGACTGTGTAAGTTAATACTCCTGAATAAACTCTCCTTTTCAAATACATCTATCCAATCAGGTGTGGTCGCTCACGCCTGTAATCCCAGCACTTTAGGAAACCGAGGCAGGAGAATCACTTGAGGTCAGGAGTTCGAGACCAGCCTGGTCAACATGGTGAAACCCCGTCTTTACTAAAAATCCAAAAATTAGTTGGGTATGCTGGCACATGCCTGTAATCCCAGCTACTTGGGAGGCTGAGGCAGGAGAATTGCTTGAACCCAGGAGGTGGAGGTTGCAGTGAGCCGAGATTACACCATTATACTCAGCCTGGACAAAGAAGGGAGACTCCATCTCAAAATAAAGTAAAATAAAATAAAATTAACACATCTATCCTATTAGTTCTATCCCTCTAGAGAACCCTGACTAATACAGTGGATTTTGCTCTTGTGATTAGATTTTTTTATATGGCACAGTTGACATTAAAATAGGGAAATTATCCAAGTGGGCACTATTGAGTCAAATGAGTCCTTGAAAACAGAGTTTTCCAGCTGTTAATAGAAGAGAAAGTCAGATTGGAAAGCATAAGAAGACTTTGCCACACAATTGCCAGCCTGAAGATGGAGGGGCCCAGATGATAAGGAGTGTGGGTGGCCTCTAGGAACCCTTGGCTGATAGTTAGTAAGGAAATGGAGATCTCAATTTTATAGTATCATGAAGCTGGATTTTGCTAATACTCTGAATGAGCTTGGAAGCAGATTCTTCTCCAGAGCCTCCAGATAAGAACTTAGCCTAGTCAACACCTTGATTTCAGCCTTTAGTGCCCTCATCAGATCATAAACCCTAGCCAAGCTGTGAATGGACTTCTGACCTAAAGGACCAGTACTAATAAATGGTTGCTGTTTGGAGCCACTAAGATTATGGTAATTTGTTATACTGCACTAGAGACAAATACACTCTTTATAGAGGATCATCATAGTTCTTAGTCCTGGGGATATAACATAGCCTCTGCAGTCATAGAGTTTATGTTCCAGGAGAAGGATGGGGGATGAAGAAAATGCATGAATAAATACCAATAAATAAACAGTAAAATATCAGTAAAATATCAGATGGTGGTCAGTGCTATGAAGAGAATTATAATGGGGTGATATAATTGAGAGTGTTACGGGGCTCCTTTAGATCAGTTGGTCAAGAGAAGTCTCCTTGAGGCAGTCTTATTTGAAAAGACTCGTATGACAAGAAGGTTCCAGTCAAGTTTAGTTCTGGGAGAAGTGCCATCCAGGCAGATGAGGTGCCACTGCAAAGGGCTTCATGTGAGGAAGAACTTGTGATTGACAGACAGGTGGTATGGCTGGCCCCTAGATGATGGTGGTGGGGCCAGAGGAAGTTGGAGAGATGATTAGAATTCAGATTTGGTAGGACTTTGTATACTATGGTAAAGAATTTGAATTTGATTCTAAATGTGTTGTGCCACTGGAAGACTCTAAATAGATTATATGATTTGATTTATATTTTCAAGATTTTATACAGTGCAGAGACACATAGAAACATTTCAATTAGAAACAGAGCAAGACTTTTTTTTCCTTTTTCAAAAAGTTGAAATACTTCTCTACCTGTACATGTGTAGAACATTTTATATTTAAAGTTTTAATGCATTTTTTTTAGCTCAGGATATTATCCTTTTATACTTTTTATATCCTCCTTTTACCCTTGTCCTTGTTATGTTTTCTATCTTCTCCTTTCTGTGTTTACTTTTTTTATTTTGAAAAAAATCAGAAGAAATTTACAGAGAACAGTATCAAAATATCTGACCAAGAATCAACATTTAACATACTGACATGTTTGCTCCAAGTTCTTATGCTTTTTAAAAGAAGGGAATGTTATGTGTTAAAGTCAAGTCCATTTTGTCCTTCATCCTTGTCTTAATTTTTTTTGAAGAAGTTAAATGTATCATAGATTTTGTGTGTATCATTCTAGGCCTTTATTGATTTTTACTTTTTTTACATATACATATATGTGTAATTGTTTGGTGATTTTTAAATTAAAAACACTGTATTTTATGCATTTGTTATTTATTTATATAATGTCACTAAATTAAGTTTGTATAAAGGCTATAATAAATGTTTAAAAAAAGTTTGCCTAGGCTAATAGGAAAATGAGGACCAGTTGAGAGTCGTCTGTGGACATTCAGATGAGCAAAGACGGTGGTTTGAACAAGGGCTATGGTAGTAGTGGTGAAGAGAAATGGACAGATTTGATATCTGTTTCGGAGACAGTTCTTGCTGGTGGATAGGATGTGGGAGATGAGGGACCAGGAAATCTAGCTCCTAGATTTTTTTTTTTTTGTCTTGAGCAATTGAGAGGATGAATGACAAAAATAGAGAAGACTAGGAAAATAAGGGGTTGGATTGTGTAGAATCAAGAGGCCTCTTTTGGCCATATAAAGTTTGAGTTGCCTATCAGGCATCAAGTGAATATGTCGAGTTTACAGTTAGATATGTAAGTCTGAAATTCAGAAGGAAGGTTAAAATCGGAGATAAAAATGTGGGAATGATTAGCAAAAGGAATCATACTTAGAGCCTTGAGATTACCTGAGGAGAGACCTTATATAGGCCAGAGAAAAAGGATAAGGACTGAAGTCTAGGGTATTCCAAAATTTAGAGATCAAAGAATGGAACCTGCATAGCAGTATGAGCAGGAATAGCCAATGCATTAGAGGGAAACAGGGTGGTGTGTAGGGTGCTGGAAGCCAAGAAAAGAGAGAGGAGGGAACGAGGTGTGAAATCCAGTCAGTGACTCTATGCAGCAGCTCTTT